CTGATGCCTGATACCTGATCCCATTGACACCTCGTGATCACACCAGCTGGAGTGCTGCTCCTTCTTGCTAGTTGGAATGAGGATATTATTGCTGGAATTCCAATAGCCATCTCGAACATAAAATGACCTTGGGAATGAAATTCTAATAGAGTAGAACAAGAATTGAAAAAGGATCCTGTATTCCTGAAGTTTTTATATATACTACTGCCTTGGATAATTTCCTTATGGATTTGAGCAATAGAAAGAGCAATATCAGCTCTTTAGTTTAAATGGTATTGTGTGTTTTCTGTCACTTGAAGATAAATCTAATCCTAATCAATAATGGCATCTAGTCCTATGCTTAAGACCTGGTAAATATTTAGGATACACCAGTATTTTAATACCCCAGCATCAAGGTAGAAAAATTACAACATATCATGTGGCATCATTCTTGTATTTCAAGAATATGTAGTCTGATTCCTAAATGGTTTTAATATTTTGGTTAAACTCTTCTCGTTAATCTCCACCTCTGACAGTCTCCCTCTTATGAGAATTTAAATGATCTAGGTTTTCTAAAGAATGGTGAAACCTTTTTTTGCAATGGGAAAAAATGATTTTGTGATGGCAATAACCAAAATTCACTGTCATAGAGTTCATTCTAACTCATACTGACCCTATAGGATAGAGTAGATACCCCTGTGGATTTTAGAGGCTGTGAATCTTTATTGGGGGTCGTACAATGCTTATCACAATCTGTACATCTATCCATTGTGTCAAGCACATTTGTACATTTGCTGCCCTCATCGTTCTCAAAACATTTGCTTTCTACTTGAGCCCTTGGTATCAGCTCCTCATTTCCCCCCTCCCTCCCTGCTCCCCCCTCGCTCATAAACCCTTGATAACATATAAATTATTATTTTTGTTATATCCTACAATGTCCAATGTCTCCCTTCACCCACTTTTCTGTTGTCCATCCCCCAGGGAGGAGGTTATATGTAGATCCTTGTAATCGGTTCACCCTTTCTATCCCACCTTCCCTCCACCCGAAGGGGTCGTCTGTCCTGGATTACCTGTGTTTCCAGTTCCTATCTCTACCAATGTACATCCTCTGGTCTAGCCAGATTTGTAAGGTAGAATTGGGATCATGATAGTGGGGGGAGGAAGCATTTAAGAAGTAGGGGATGTCTGATACCTGGTCCGTTCTATCCCTCATGGTCACACAGGCTGGTGTGCTTCTTCCATGTTGTCTTTGTTGATTCTGAGCTAGATGGCTGCTTGTTCTGCAAGAAGCTGTGAAACGTTATAGGAGCAAAAAGCCTCATCTTTCTCACGTGGGCTTGAATCATAGACTTTACTGTTAGCCAACTGTGTAACCCACTATGCCACTAGGGCTTCATTGGGATGGCAATTTTTGTTATTAGTATCATCAAATTGACTCCAACTCATAGTTACCCTCTGTACAACAGAACATAACACTTCCCAGGCCAGCACCATCTTCACAATTGTTCTTATGTTTTAGCCCACTGTTTGAGCAATAGTAACCCCTAATTCTATCCACTGACTTAAAAATGAAGTTTTATTCATTTTTACAGAATATTTAAATAAATTATAAATTCCAGTTTTTGTCAGTGGCAAGTGAATTAAACTTGCTAAAGGCCTTTAAAATCTCTGAGCCTCACTCTCCCGGTTAGCAAAAGATGAGCAATAGTATTACCTTCTTTATATGATCTCTTTCACATAAGTTAACACTATTTGTTTGGCTACTTCAAATTTCATATTATTTGATTCTAATATGGGTGGAGGGAAGGTGGGATAGAAATGGGGAACCGATTACAAGGATCTGCATATAACCTCCTCCCTGGGGGTTGGACAACAGAAAAGTGGGTGAAGGGAGATGTAGGACAGTGTAAAATATGACAAAATAATAATTTATAAATTATCAAGGGTTCATGAGGGAGGAGGGAGCAGCGAGGGAGGGGGGAAATGAGGAGCTGATATTAAGGGCTCAAGTAGAAAGCAAATGTTTTAAGAATGATGGTGGCAACAAATGTACAAGTAAAATGATTTTAAAAATAAAGATGGACTTTGAGCTGCTCTGGAGAAAATGCTTGCACCTAAAAGAATGAAGCTAATGTTGACGTTCACAGGCACTAAGTTCGATTAAAAGGTCAATTCGCAGGGCTCAAGGGGACAGATAGTGCAACTTCCCATGCGTCCTTCAAATCAATTGCCATGGCTAGGAGGAAGCTTCCATCTTATGCCCATGGCAGATTAAATAAGGACAACAGATGATTATCTTTCTTTCCGCCTCCCCTCCTTCCTTGAAGAACTCCACAGATGAAAACAATTAAAAACCTACCTGGCCTTTCTTCAGTCTTCCATTATGGTGTCTTGACCCTCAGATGTTCAAAAAGCACTTCCATAGAGCTTGATTGTACATCTGGGCTCTTGGAAAGACCTAAGTCTCTTCATTATGATGCTTAAATGTTGGTCTCTGCCTGTGGATTTGATGCTGCTTGTTGCTGTGGATCATCTGTGGGATAATTAATTTTGGCAAGTGTTTGCTGGCCTCATTTGCTGGAAGTCAGGCCTAGTCACATAATCAGATCCCAGGTTCAAATAAATTGCTCTGTGCTGCTCTTCCAGCTGCTTTGGCTTGACAGAGACTGTTCAATATCAGAATTTTCTTACAAAGCCCTTTACTCCCCACCCCACCCAAGAAGCTTAGTTCCCTCAGGGGTGTGATAAGAATTGAAATCACTGGAAAGTTATTATAGCTTTAATTGACGATAAAGAAATTCTGTGGTGGCCCCAGGATTTAGCAGGATCAGACATTTTATAAACTAAGCTTTTGACAGAGCAAATGGCAGCTACAGGCTTAAGTATTCATGAAGAAATATATTTTCCACTACATAAAAAGATGTTCTAACCTGTCACCAAACACTTTTGAATATTGAGGCTAATGTTATATATAATATTACAGATATTTCTTTTCGTTTACTGACATTTTTTGCTTACGGTTTTAACCAAGGGTGCCAACAATCTATAGCTTTTAAAACCCTAGGAAGAGACCAAACTTAGGCTTTCCCTATTTGATGAAGTAGTACATCAATGTGGTCATGAGACAGCTTTTCTTTCTTAGTAGCAGGACGTCATGTTGCTTTCACAGAAGTGATTATTTCAACAGCAAAACTTATATTTTACATTTTTAATGAATTGGGTTTAGGGACCAAAAGATGTGGAAAAAGACCTCCTTGAGGTATGGTGTACTTTTTTAAAGTAGCATTAGCTGTTTGGTACCCCTCATATCAAGTTAAAAGAGTGCGCAGTTTAATCACAGCTTATGAAACTGTGTCTCAAAACTGAATGTTGGGATTCCAGAAAACGCTGGCAAAAGAGAAGGGTTTCTGAATGCTCAACCACCAAAAATTAATTGAAAATCAAATGCAGAATGAATCCAAGGTGTTGCTGGCAGCGCTTGCCTCTGTTGCAAATTTCTTGGGCAAAAAGGGGTCACAAGTGGAAAAAAGTTTAAGAAGTCAGACTACTCCCTAATTATAACTCTTAGGTGTGATAGAGTTTTCCCAGTGAAAAATCAATAGCTCTGGATGAAGCACCAATTGTATACTATTTAAATGGTCATATGTTATGCTCCAGGAACTAAATTCTAATTTGCCTGGTATTTATTTCATTTCTGGATCCCTATGTGTCTGCTGTTCTGTATGCCCGTCTTCTTTTAACACCTTGGTGAACTTCTACTTCTCTTCAAAACCTAAGTAAAAATAAGGTTCACCTACTTAGACAGACTTAGTTTCTCCATCCACTGTTCTATCTGGCATTGTGGTCATACTTCTAGTAATTCACTTAGAACACTTAATTATAATTACATGCTTGCATGTTTATTTTCCCCCACAAAACTGTGACTTCCTTAGGAACAGGAACCATGTCTACTTTGCTCTCTGCTGTGCTCCTACTAACTAGAAGCTCAGACCATAAAAGAGGAACCTGTTATAATTCACTGAGAGAATTTTACAAAAGAAAGTAGGATACTTGTTTTCTTGGAGGCAGGAAATAAGGAAAAAATCGGTTGGAAAATTAGGGGTATCAGAACTTGAGTTTAACTGCAGTGTTTGTTTCTGAGACTTTTAGCCGCAAGGAATCCTGTCTCAAAGCTTCACTGTGTTATCTTCTCCCAAGATATGTTGTCCCTGCTGGTTTGTTCCCAGCTTCTGCATTTGAGAAAGGTTCCCGAGTATTTGTCCTGGCAAGAATACTTCCTATAGATGTTCTTAATGTAAAATACAGGATTCTGAGATCATGGGATCTACACGAAAGAACCTTTTTTTCTACTTGTATCTGCTGCCATAGCTCAATTGTCCTAAAGACTTGGACACTTTTGTGTGACCTGATTTTCTCCAAGAAAGACAACTCCCTCATCCCGAGAGTCAGTGAAAGTCTCTAGAAACTTTAGCAAGGCAGATGAATCCGCCAACCTCCTCACTCTGCCAATTCCATCCTGTACATGTTTTAACCCTCAGGGTAGAGTTAATGCCTGGAGATATTCTTTCATAACACTTGTTTGGCAAGAAAAATAGAAAAAAATTGATAGCAGCCAAGGGTCACAGTTTCTACATTCAGCAAGAATATCTTTAAACATATTTTGCTGTTATTTTTGCAGCGTAAAAGAGCTCACAGTTTTGCGACAATTCCTCATATTACCTTTCTTGGTTTTGCTCCTGAAATGAAGCGATCACAGCTATAATTCTAGATTGCATACTTTCTTTACATTTGTGGTCATTTGAAAGTCTTAAATGTATCCCCCACCTCCCCTTTTCCTAGGTGAGAACATGCTTTGTTTTCAACTTCTAAGAGAGGCACTCTTAATTTTAGGAACACTGATCCTCAGTGATATCTATAAATTGACATTTGGAGATATATAAACCTCAAATTAGAAGAAAATCCATGTGCTTTCCCCCCCTTCATTTATGGTTTTAGCACAAATCAACTCACAAATGGGCCATCTATTCCTTTTCTTTGCTGCACAGCCTGGCGTTGCGGTCAGGGACTCGGAAGGCCAGCTGGGCTACTCTGCCTGTGATGGCTTGGCGATTCCCGGAGGAAACAAGATGAGCGATCTCTACACAATAAGGCTTGTTGCCCATCAGCAGTGCTGCCAGCTCCTTGAGGTTGTGGACCAGGAACTTTCGGAAGCCACTGGGCAGCAGGTGCTGGGTTTTCTTGTTGCTCCCATCACCAATGTTGGGCAACAATATCTGACCCTTGAATCTTCTCCGCACCCTGTCGTCAATGCCTCTGGGTTTGCACCAGTTGTGCTTCAACTTGACATAGCGGTCTGATTGATGCCAAATGGACTTCTTGGTCCTCTTTTTGACAAGTTTAGGCTTCACCAGGGGTCTGAGGGCAGCCATGGTGCCTTCAAGAAAGAGGTTGATCTCGGTCAAGTGAGTCCTGGAAGGAGGCCTCCCTGCCCAGGACCTGAACACTGTCGCAGAGTAGCTTCCACTCACTAGTTACTGAGCAAGGGGGAATGGAATGGGTCTCTGACAGGCTTGTTTTGCCTCCGGTCTCGGAAGCTGGCAGAATACTGGTTATTCTCCAGATACGATCCTGCGAGGCCATGTGCATTTTTTTATGCTTGAATTTTGTTTCCTGGGGAAAGAGGTTCGTATATTTCACCAGATTCTTAAAATGATCCATGAGCCAAAAGTAAAGTTCAGAAACATCATTATATAGGAAAAAAACAATACATATGTCCCAATATTATAAAGAACAAAATGAGGGTCTTTGAATCAAGAGGAAGTGTCATTTCAAATGGAGCCTTATCTTTCTTTAGAAAGTTCTCATGAAATAAGAGTAGAACTTTATAGACTGTGAAAACTGGTTTGTGGATGGAGCCTTCGTACTCTGCGATTTGTCTCCATATTCAAGTTTCTGGGATGCAAAGACTACTAGCAGAGCTATTCCAAGTCACATACAAATCGCCAGTTGCGGTCCCTAAAGGAGAAACAGCAATGGAACTGTTGCTGCACTTCTAAATCTTTCTCAAATATTTGAGGTCCAGATGTTATTTGTAGGTTGCTGGAGAAAATGTTCCAGCATATTAATATCTGTAAATTTATACGTATAAACCTGTGTACATTTCTTTATCAATCTGCATTTATTCAGCACTCTAAGATGATTTACGCCCTCCCAGTCCCTGAAAACCCTGAGGACAGAGTGTTACACATACTCCCAATTATTTATGCATAAAAATATGAGGTTTGGCCATGGGACCCACTGACATAGCTAAACATTTTTGGCCTTCTCACAAGGTAAAGAGTGGAGATGTGGCGGTTTGTGGACTCACATTCCATAGTCTGCATTGGTCTGTGGGGGAAGTGAAGAGCGGGGAGAAACAGAACTCCTTTAACTTCTTGTGCTACCCTCTCAGAAACAGGCTTTCATCAATTGAGGCAAAATATTAGAATTTTACCATTTCAGATTTTGTCAACTGGAAAACTAATTTTTGTCTTTTCCCAACACTGTTCTCTACACCTATATTTGGTTTCGGGGCATGACTGGGGGTGTATATGTACTAAATGTTTATAATTCATACTTGATACTCCTATTCAATTAGACCTGACGAATATCTGCTGCTCTACCCTATTTGATATAATTGATTTCTAATCTAGCCTTCTAAAAAGCAGGGGCCATGATATACTTGGAATTTCCCTGCATGTCTAGCACAATACTCAGCTTAGAATAAATACTCATTATCTACTACTTTATTCTAGTTTTCACATTGACTAGCTATTTCTGACCTTTAGTGACTTAAAATTTGTCTTATTCTTAAAGATGGGTATTTGGGGATTTTCATTTAAAGTTTTAAAGCCTTTAAATGAAAGAACGGGGCTCATTAGCCAGATGTGACTTTATACTTTTAGACTTTGCAGGACTGGAAGCTTCCAGGACTTACTTTCATTCACATCTGCATAGAGGACTTAATTTTAATAATGGTCCCATTAAACAACAAGAGAGAAACCATTTTTCAAAATTATTCCACATGGTAAGGTAAGCATTGTTTAGTTGAAGACAGGTTGAAAGTATACTAGGAAGTTTTACAGAACGACATATCAGACAAACTGTTCTTTCAACAAGTCCTTATTTTTTCCCTAGATATTTTTGCCTTTTAATCTATCTTTTAAAAGCTTATGCACAATCTGGAGGAGAAAACAACGGGACTGACAGTTCCGTAGGGACATGGGAGCGGGGGAGGTGGGGTGAAAGGAAGTAGTGTTAACAAACCCAGGGACAAGGGAACATCAAGTGATCCAAATTGGTGGTGAAGTGGGTGTGGGAGGCCTGGTAGGGCATGATCAAGGGTAATGTAACAAAGAGGACCTGCAGAAACCCTGGTGGGGACTGAGCATGATAGTGG